AAATGCTGACACAAACCTTTTGCTACATGCCAGATATCATAGAGGTGCTCAATGTGGGGGTAGGTCTCTCTGAGCCACTTGGCTATTTGCCGGTGTCGGTCAGTGACCATCGTGCCAACTGCAAGTCCCTGCCGCTCAAGATGAGCCAGGGAGCGCTCCAACCCAGTTTTCTCCATATGATAGCTACCACCACATTCATTGCTCTAAAACAGCAGAAAACAGATACATAGGTATTAGACAAATGTATACAATGCAAATATAACTACACTTAGACCTGCAGTAAATGTAATAGATAACAGGTTTAATATGTAATAATCCAAACTAAATAATTTTAAATAATTAATGTCCGAAGTTAATATATTTGAATTCATTATCAAATTGGTGTATACAATTTTATTATTTAAAACTAATTTGTGTATTACAGCACCTAGACATTTTGTAAATAGAATCATTGGAAACCACGAGAAAAACAATTATGCTAACCTAGCTGTGGTTTTATTCTAAATCTATTTTGTCCATATGTCCAATGCAGCTGGTTTGAATTGGCCACACCATTGGCTAATTATCTGCAAAAATGTCAACAAATGTAATAATAGATATTTAAAAAATACACTTAATATCAGTGTTTTGCATATACAAAATATATCAGTCAAGTGATTTCAACCCTGCTCATAAACTTCTTCAGATACCGGTAACCCACCTGAACTAGCTGAATATCTATTACTACATTGGCATGCAGCTCCAACATGGTGTAACTTCCAAACTTTGCACAATGTCCCGGGCTATCGGCCCGGCCATCACCTCCCAGGACCAGGTCCCTTCCCTCTGCCTGAAATGTGACAGGCAAGAATGTCTGTCTCATGTTCCATACTCGCTGGACAACTGGCAACAAAACACTTCTCTGGTGCCGGAAATATGTCCATGAAGATGTGGTCGCCAATGCCATGGTTCTCATAACCCGCAGAACCTTTCCTGCAGTGGCACCTGCCAACAAAATTGAAGTGGACAAGAGAATGTTGCCCGCTGGTGTGCTGCCGATGTAGGGTTGGCTGTTCCATGTCACTTTCTTGTAGCAAGATGCACATAACAACGTAATGACTAGGAGTGAACCAATGACATTGTGGCAAATGTCAACTGAACCACAGTCGGGGCAGTGGCACCAGGTGAGCAACCTCGTGAGGCAAGTCATGAAGACAATAAACTTCTTCTCCTTGTGGATGGGTGTGACAGGCTCATCCATATCCGGCTCACTGTTCTTCTGGTAGTCATCTTCTGATGATGAAAGGTCGGGTTACAAAGGTGGATGATATCCTGGTGATGAAGGTGGAGATGATGATGATGATGATGATGATGATGATGATGATGATGATGGTGGAGGTGATGCCTCTTTCTTTGGGGTGGGAATGATGTTGCATTGACTGCCAGTGTCTTGGAACAGCTTCCTCTATATTGGAGTCCCTGAAAAGAGATTTCCAAATATTAATTATGATATGAAAAACCAATCATCAAACCATACCTGTTTTAGGTCCACTTTTATTCTCCATCTACACCAATAGTTGAGGTGAAAATGTCGATGGAGCAACCTTACATTTTTATGCTGGGTCAAAGAACTACACTGGCTGCATAGGACACACCTCTTTTTATTGCATTTTAACACTCTAAATATTTTTATATTAATATGTTGATGGAACAATGAGCTTATTGCTTCGATAACTT